AATCACTCAATCCAAATCCCCCCTTTTTATCTACTAAATATCATAAAAAGAGAATTATTCCTTTCCCTGTGGATACGAACTCTACTACGCTATACTACGTATAAGTGTTAGTATTGAAATTATTTTGACGCACTGTGACAAAGTGCTCGTCAGTAGTCCTATCAACATACTCCGTATAAAATAACAAACACTTTTGTATATAAGAGTGAATAGTGGTCCATTGAGGGGAAATATATACTTAATTGTAGAAAGTTTTTCGACTTTGAAATATGCAAACTGAGAGCTAAAAACTTTTCAAACTCTAAGGATGTTTTTTACTTAGACTATAATTTTCTGCTCTGCTCTGTACTGATCTGGTCTGGTCTGGTCTATTTTAGTCTAGTCTGGTCTGGTCTTTTCAGTTTTGGTCTGGTCTGGTCTGGTCTGAAATTTTATTTTTTATATTTTTTGCATAAAGATTTTATTTTTTATATATATTACAATCCATAAATACTTCGTAGAATTAGGCTTTAATTTTAGGAAACTAATTTAATTATTGATTTAAAAATCAAGATTTTATTTATTTATTTTTATTTCTTTGATTTTTACAAATCAAGATCATCTATATTATTCTGTCACTTGTATGACTTAAAATACGAACAGACTAAACCAAACAATAATAAAATAGTAAGTGTACTAATAATAACAACAGTAACACTACTACTACTACTACTAATAATAATAATAATAATAGTAATAAGAGTAATAATACTAATAATAATAACAATAATAACAATAATAATACTAATAATAATAATTATTATAATAATAATAATAATAAGAATAATAATAATAATAATAATAATAATAATAATAATCATAATAATAATATAATAATAATATGCTCTCGTATGGTCTGGTCTGGTCTGTTTTAATCTGGTCTGGTCTGGTCTGTTTTAGTTTGGTCTGGTCTGGTCTGGGACAAATTACAGTCCAAGTAAAAACAACCTTACTTTGAAAAGAAACTGAGATAATTACCCTAGGTAAGACCAAGACCCGATCAGTTTCCCAATCTATGACCTTAGAACTTATTTTACAAAAATAATACCAAAATTCATATTAATTAAATAATATATTAATAATTAAATAAGTAAATAAAATTATGATTTGCTATGTCCTTAGATTGTTACTATAAAACCCTAAGCTCCTAATACCCTAATCGAAGCCGATTTGTATTGGCCCAAGAAATTCTTCATCAATCTTGAAGCAGGGATTATCGCCTGTGTCACCTGTCGCTTGAAACAACCCTATTTGCAGACAATTAAATCAACCTCGCTTCAAGAATCAACTATGGATGCCTCCCCTAACTCATCAACAATATGTGATCATCATTGTACTAAATTTCCAAATGATGAGCTCAGGGTAAACTGTGATGTGTGCAGTGGTACCTATTTAGATTGATCCACACACATGGAGGGTATGACAAGCTATGAGCAATCAACCCTTGAGCACTTTGAGGGAGAATTACATTTTTCTCCTCCTGGTGCCATACGATGAACAAAGCAAGGATTTCCTCAAGGATGAAACTATTGAGGGGGAGTTTTCAATATTCTCCTCCCCGGTGGTAAACAATGATAGAGCATATCGAGTGCTCTAGTTGAGGGGGAGCATAGAGAGAAAAGAAACAAAAAACAAAGAGGAAATGAGAGTAGAGTCCTAATGGCTTAGTAAACCCAACTAAGCCTACCCAAGAGACAAAATCTAGAGTGAGTGAAGATTTCAAGATAGAGGAAGCAGAAGGCTCATGTGAGCAAGAGAAAAATAATCAAAGACAAATCTGCTACCTCAAATGCGCTATCGATTGAGGAATCAATCCTAATCACTCAAATACTCTGGACAATTCCCCTAGGTTAAGTACTGAATTTATTCAAATCTCGGGTAGAAGTCGTTGCATCTTGTCCAAACAGCGCATGCACAACCCTACTCAAGATCACTCATATGTCTCTCAAGAGACAAGTGTTTAATCATATTTCACGGGGAACGTCATCTTTTTATCACCGTCTCCTTCTGAGACGAGTGATACTGATTACAGTGGCCCTCATCCCCATGCCACTGAACTTTCACTGATCACATCGTGTCTAGAAATCTAAATCCTAAATATTTTGAATTTTCTAGGACACAAACACATTTTAGAGTCAGTTGCCAGTCCACGTGATCTGCGAGAACTTTCATAGGCTCATCTACGATAGATGTAGACCAATGATTGGAAGGGATTCATGATGTCGCAACATAGAAATCACCAACAGGTTTAGCCCATCATTTAGAATTCAAATCTATAGTGATGATAACTGTTGTCTACGCGACCTCAAGGGCTACAATTCTTCATTGCTGATCCTTGTGATCATGTCATAACAATCAGAGTGACATTTACTTTAGATGCTTCATAATGATCGGTTGGAAGTCCTGGTAGAACTCTAATGCTTTTATTATTATATGCAGGTCACTCATCAATGTTTACATTGATATTGTGATAATAGAACACCAAGGAGTCTCTTGTATTTATCTTTTCATTTCTTTGTTTTTGCTTTGTTACCCAGAATAAAAGATTAAATAAAGGCATGATGCCCCGATTCGTAGGATCGTCATGAGGGAGAGAGTGGTGCGCATGCTGTTTACTCTCAACCATCATTCTCTGTTATGCCACCGACAAGTTCTCCTCAAAAGCATTCACTTCAAATAGTCGAAAAGGCTACATTTTGGAGGAGACATGTCGAATATTCAAGTACTAAAGATGATTCTTTTGCGCGCATGTAAAGCAACCGAACATTCATTCTAGAGGCGCCACCGGACTTCATTAAAGCTAATCAAGAGAAACATCTGGAAGGCAAGGATTACATGCAAGATAGTGAAGATCCCTCAACTTCCAAGCATCAAAGAACAAATTGCCAAAAAGACATCAAAGGGGAAATAGCAAGGATTTCTTCACAAAGCCTTTCCAAGAATACAAAGAAAGTTGAACTGCACTGAAGATCAAACCTAAAGAGGAGCAACTGAACTAATCTCATCAACCTCTCCTCTACATTGCAGATGCAACACAAATACAAAGATAGTCACGCTGCAATGTTGATTGAACACGATTGAACACCAAGGGGGAGATTGTTGGAACTTTTTATGGTGTTCACTCATGTTTCATTTATCTGTATATGTGTAGCTATTAGTTTAGATGTTTAATGTGGGTCACAAGTGTATTTAATCCCGTTAAGGAAGCTAACTTACGTAAACCCTAGGTATCGTAATACGTAAGTTAGGCATCCTTATCTATAAAAGGAAGCTAACTTACGTAAACCCTAGGTATCATAAAATAGAGAAATCCTAGCGATAGAATAGTTTTCTACGCTGCTCTCTCTCTAGAGGGAGAGCAGCGGCCGTTTCATACAATGTTCGACATTTCTATATCTTTGTGTATTGAATTGGTGCTATCCATCTGTTTCTGCTCTATTATGTTGTTGTTTGATTGTTGAAAACAGGTTTCATCAATATATACGCAATAAGGTTGTTTTTACTTGTTGTACTGCTTTCAGACTCACACCAGACCAGACTTGCTCATATTAGATTATTAGACCAGATTTCATAAACCTGACATCTTCTGGACCAAATCAGTTAAAACCTAGACCTCCACAAACACCGCTCGGCCCGCACACATAAATAGTTGGGCTTGGGCATAAATATTTATCCATCGTGCTGGGGTCGGCCTGACTCACAATAGCATATGGGTGGGCTTGGGATAGGGTGTAAGCCTGTTTGGGCAGATAAGCCCAGCCCACTACATTTAGTATATGTCCGGTCCCCAAGATTTTGATGATTAGATTTTGATAATGCCATAGTGTAGATTTAATAGTCTATTCCCACCCCCAGCCCCTCTAGACTTTTACCTCACCATGGACCATCAATATATATATACATACATACGGAGTACATACATACATCATCGCGTGCTTTCTTCTATCTTTACCGTTTGTAATTTTCCTTTTTTCTTTATTAAAAATTTATTTTCCGCAAAAAAATACATGTGTATAAATATTTATTTATTTACATGTAGACGTGAATATATATTTACATTTGCTAATTTATCCTTACATATACTTATGATTCAGTATGCTTAAATTTAAAATTTTACATATTAACAACTAGCTCAACTAATATAATATCTACTTTTTATTTAAAGATAATAATTTGTGTTTGAATTTTATGTTTTAGTTATAGTTTTTCAGGATTATTTTAGTAATTTTTTTTTTGTGTATGTAGTGAGAGATCTATAAACATTATAAGCATATTAACACTTAACTGTAAATAGGTCTCTCACTACATACACCAAAAAAGAAAATGTAAATACCTTTGTATCTTTTTAGAGTTAAGGATGTTTTTACATGAACTGTTTTCAGTCCCAGACCAGTCCAAATCAGTCGAGACCAAACCAGACCAGATCAGATCAGACTTGGGCAATTATAAAATACATAAAGACCAGACAATTATCAGACTACACCAGATCAGTTCAGACCAGACTAAACAAGACCAAACCATAAAATTTCGGTCCAAGTAAAAACATCTTAAACAAATCATGGCTTTAATTACCACAAAACAATATACGGAGTACATCTTTTGATTCACACAACCTAAGAAGCAGTTCTGTTTAAAAAATGTGTAATGTTTAAGTTCACTTTATCGAGTAGAGTACTTTCTTAAATAAGTACAATAGTATACTTTTCATATTTATTGATGTACAACTTTGACCATTAATATATACAATTCTCTATTAGTAAAAAAATAATTTAAAAAATCATATTTGAAAATTTACAATGATATCAATTTAACAATATTTTTTAAAACTAATTTATTAACACATTAATAAATAAAGTGTAGTCAAAGTTGAAAATATGAATAGTGAAATATTGAATATGTTACCATTATTTAAGAATTGAGGAAGTATTATTTGTGACAAATTGTCAATATATTAAACACACCTATATTCCATGAGTATGGATTGATTGCCAAGCCACTTCCATTACCGTCAATAAGGAAAGGGCCAATCTCTTGAGATGCTCCATATCCTACGGACGAACATCCCGGACCTTAAGACAAAGAGATAAACACACAAAGATTTTTTATTCAGAATGTTAACGAGAAGCTGATAATCCTAACACTTCAAATTAAACAAAAGTTATTGCCCAATATAGAAGTAATCATCATAAACATAATTTCAAAATAGGAGTAGAACTTAAAACTTTCTTCAATAGTAGTAAACATTCATTTTCTACCCTTAATACACCTAACCTAATTATTTCTAAAATAGGACTTATTTGTTCCTATAAAAATATAAAAAATCTAAAACATTTATAAAAAAAATTTAAAAAATAAAAAACATTAAAAATGAATAAAAAATAGGTAAAACACATTAAAAATATAAAAAAATTATGGAGTCCATTCCTGCAGCCCAGGCCACCACCCAACAATGTCATCTCTCATCGGCAAATAAATGCCATTTTATGTAGAAATCCATTTTTCTTTGAAAATGTCATTATAATGGCATTTTTATTCTTTGAAAATGCCATTTTTTTTAAAAATTGTCATCAAGATGGCATTTCTGATAAATGTTGGCATTTTTTCCGCTGGTCAGACTGATGGTGTTGAGAGGTTGTTGAGGCGGTAGCAAAGGTCTGCATATATAATTTATATTTTCCATTTTTTATTCTTTCATTTTAATTTTTTTTGTTTTTTATTTAATATTTTTTATTATAATTATTTTTTAATATTTATTAATTTTATTTAATACATAGTATATATATTTAATATGTATTTTGATGTTTTATTTATGATTTTATTATAAATTAATTAATTTTATTTCTTTTATTTTCTAATTACTAATGAAAGTGGTTGGGGCTTGGGTAGGAGTATATTTGTCCAAACACTAAAGTTACTTATATTCAAAACATGGTACTCCTATGTTTGCATTTTGCCTATGTTTTACTCATATTTTGTGAATTCTTTCATTAAACAATAATATATATTTGTATGCATGAACGTTAGTTTTAAAAGTAATTGACTTAAATAGGAGTAAAACATAACATTTTTTCTTAAAAGGAGTCCACCACTAATCTTTCGTAAATAAGAGTAAATTAACATTAAAATTCTACCCTTAATACCCTTAATTTTCAGTTCGTTTGTGGTGGGTCAGTCCAGCGTGGTGGCGACCTACAGCTATGGTGGCAGGCGGACTGGCAAGTTATTTTTTTTTTTTGCAACTCCGGTGCCCTGGCGGCCGGCGGTGTCAGGCGGCAGTGGGCTGCAGTGGGTTGGGTATCTGTAGAAGTATTTTTGTCCCGTTCCTAAAAAAGCTCCTATTTTGGGATTATTCAAACTACTACTCTAATTTTTGCCTTTTTATCATGTTTTACTCTTAATTCCGGAATTATCTCCAGTTTTAATAAGCTAATTCAGCTGGTTAGGGGTCTGAAATGATAGTGAATATTGATGAATGATGATAGCGTGGGATTAGTGGTCTTTGACGAAAGACAATGCCACATGATGAACACACATATATTCTTAATTAAGAATATAATGCCCTAGCCTAGCCTCTCATTTTTGGTCAAAAGGCCGGCTGACTAATTTTGGGTCGTAAAGAAATGAAAACGGCCTAAAGGCTTTTTTATCCAATCAGTTAGGAGATCTTTCTTCACATCAAGCCCCGCCCCTCCTCATAGTACCAACTACTAAGAACAAAAGATATTTCTTCATATACCACTACAATTATTATTATTCCAAAATTATTTTATCATCCATATATGATAGTGAGATTGTACAAACTTTAAGGTAATTTTTCTAAAGGTCTAAACTAAATGCATATTGACCAAGACAAACTATTGTTAATTGTCTCTAGCTTTACCTTTCCAATAACGAGTTTTTTCAAACATTGTATAATAAACTTTAATTTTGCGATAACTTATTCTATTCTATAATTATGTCATCTCCTTTCAAAATTGTATTAGCTTGGGATTTACGTTACTCAGTCTATATTTTTAGGAGTTGTTAATAGTATTAATACTTGACCGTTCAAAAATATAAATACGAATACTAATCATTTCCACATTTCACCTCATATATGGTAGGTTTTTCTACAAAAGTAAACATAGGGTCCAAACAAAAAAAGAAGAAACACATTGCACAAAAGTCAATATTTTGCTACTAAAAAAGAAGGTACCAACCACCAAATATACGTATATAACAAATATGAGATTTCATCCTAAAAGTTCATCCTGATAAGAGGAGCAACTTCAAAAAATCATTTGAAGGTCTTCTCGATCGAATTTTGAGCTGAAATTTGGTATGGGTAAACTAGACTTGATGAAGAACATACCATAAAAATTTCATCAAAAAATTCCACCGGGAACCGCCCCCCACGGCGTTGTTCGGACGGTGTTCAGACGGGGAATGTTCGGACCTAAACATTCCTCTATATCTATATATATTAATATATATATATATATATATATATATATATATATATATATATATATATATATATATATATATATAAGAGATCAAATACAAATCATGTTTAAAATACTAACCTACAAACTCAAGAATATGCAACACTTTGAACTTCAATATGCAGTACAAATAATGTAAAGATGCACACTGCGAACTTCAATGTGGAATACAAATAATATGTAACACTTTGAACTTTAATATGCAATAGAAATAATATGCAACATTTTGAATTTTAATATGCAATAGAAATAATGTAAAGATGAACAATTTGTGATAGTTTCTAAATTAACATGGGAGAACTAGTTTGTATGTGATTTCACACTATGATGAGAAATATTGTATAAACTTTAGGTACTTTAAAATTTCTAAAGGGCCATTGACCAAGAAAAACTGTCTTTACCATTCCGATATTTGAATAACTTTTTTTTCAATTTTCAAAAAAAAAAGTTTCTTTAAACATTTCAGAAAATTTTGCGTGAACTTCTTCGATCTATCCTCTCTTTTCAACATTGTAATAGCTTGTTATTTACGTTACTCAGTGTACGATTTTAGGCGTACTTTTTTTTTTTGCAATTATTTTAGGCGTACTTCGTTACTCCATATACGTATATCCATTCATGTCTTCATTAGTACATTATCACATCATAATGTCATACTACTATATGTTTTTCTACAAAAGTAAGCCCATGGTCTGAAATTAAATAAAATTACTAAATTAAATTAAAAAGAAAAAAAATATGACTTATATCGAGTATTAAAATTTTCTTGACAAGTACTAAAATACACTATAGACTATAGTGACTCTTGTCCAATTATTTGTACATACCGATTAGGATGGACGAATGTAGCTATTGATGTGGGGGGTCTTGGCCCCTGTCAACTTTTTTTTACTACTACTAGTATTAGATATGAAACAATCAGAAAAAGCTGTGTTAGAACTACCTGATAGAAGCCTCTATTTGTAATCATATTTTTCATGAAGATTAAATTATGTACACCAAATTTTAGCTTAAAATTTAATCGAGAAGTCAGCTAAATAAATTATGAAAATACATTGCGTTTTTATATATATTTCGGCGCAGTGTTTATCAATCATTTATTTAATTGACTTCACGATTAAATTTAAAATTAAAACTTGCTCTAAATAATCTACACATCATTAAAAACATTCCCAAAACATATCATAAAAAAAAAAATCAACCCGTAAGCACCTCAAACATAGGCGGTAAGACGGGGGATCCTATCGAATAGTTTTGACATGATCATTCCTCGTGAAATAATTCCACATATACGATTAAAAATATGGAAAAAAATGTGTTTTATTCCTCAAATAGATCTTACTTAGTCTTATTAAAAATAATTTCAAAAAAAATGTCAAAATAGCAATGAATAAGTCATATTTTGTAGGGGTGGGATTTTGGAACCGGGAACCGTTAAATCGGTTGGAACCGAACCGTTATAACCCGGTTCGGTTCGGTTCCTACAAATGAGATATTAGTTGTTAATGGTTCGGTTCCTAGTTGTTGTTAACGGTTCGATTCCTGGTTCCTATAAAAAATATATGCATGGAATCGTTAAGGAACCGATATTAAAAATATAAAAATAAAAATAAAAATAATAGTAGTAGTATTAGTAGTACTAATATAACAAAAATAAACACAACAACAACAATAATAATAAATGGATGATATTTAGCCAATAATTTTAATTTAGTTTAATCTATAAAAACAAAAATAATAAATATTTGCACATGAGGTTGAATACATTAAGCTCATTTTTACAAATCAAGTTTTGTTCCATCAATAGGATGTACATGCACACTCAATGTATTTCTAGGTTTTGAGAGGCATAAAGTGTACGTTCTAGCCTTGTCACTATAATGATGAGCAACCTTCATTTCAACGACATAACGAACGATTTTTATATTTTATGTATTAAATGAAAATTAAAATCTTCTTTAGTCCGAGCTTTGATGTTTGGAGTGATTAGAACTCTAAATAAATGTTTATGACTTGTTTTGACTTTTTGACATTTTCATATGGTAGAAGTTAAACTATGTGTTAATTCTTACACGAAAAAAATTATTCTAGGAACCGATAAAAGCAAGAATCGAACCGTTTAGTATTGGTTCGGTTCCATATTGGTTCTTGATTTTTTATATAGGAACCGAACCGATTTCATTTGTTAAAATTTAAATAACGATTCCACTATTTTTGAGTAAGAACCGAACCGGTCTCAGGCCTAATATTTTCAGAATAATACCTCCGTAACACAAAGATCTTCTCATTTTGACTTTTATGAACTTTATTTTTGTCTTAATCCTACTTGGTGAATTTTCTCTTTATCGTTTGTGTTCCTTCTTGGCCCCCTTTCAACTAAATCCTGGCTCCAATCTGCCCCTAAACTGATTACTCAAATTTTTGTTAGAAAACATAATTAATCATATTTTTGTTCGGAAAAATGACATAGTAGAAATATACTATGTCATTTTTCTAAAAGAAGGTACCAAAAATATCCTTAAACTTTTTCACGTAGTTTTATTTAGTTACATACACCCATTACACATACATATATGTGGAATATTAATTAGGGTCCGAGGATTAGAAAAATACGGAGTTATTAAGCGGTCAGTATTGATAAGTCTCACCTCCATTAAGCCAGAGAAGTAGAGGTTTCTGTTGAGGAGATGTGGAAGATTCAAAAAACCAGTAGAAGAGTGATCTTCCATTAGTCTTGTTGACTGTCACATACCCAGCGTAATGATTGAAGCTAACTGCCGCAGGCTGGCCAGGCAGTTTATCAGTCACAAGATCCTTAGCTGCGGCTTTCAGCTGTGATGATGAGTAATCATCTGATGCATCTTGTTGGGAATAGCTTTGGGCAATTGATGGATCAAGAAGTAGCAGCCAAGAAACCAGTATTACAGAAAGGGAAAGCATCATTTGTATTGAAATATTCATCCAGTTCTTGAGAGATAAAACTAGTGTAATCAATGGATTGCTTCTTGACTTGCGCAAGTCCCGGCTACCCTATAAATACTTGTTGGAAGAACTTTTTGATTGGCACATCCCTCAAGGTGGCAATTTTTATAGAGAGTTGGGAAACTTATATTCTGTAGCTTTTCATAAAAAAAAATAAAAGTAAAATTATAAAATTTGTTGGGAAACTTATATTCTGTAGCTTATATTCTGACAAAAATAAATTTGTTGGGTCCATGTTTAAACATAAAAGTAAAGTTTTAGTTTTCTACCCATGATTATTGTGGATTGAATTGGATAGATGTAAACTTGCACTAGTCATGTAAAATACACCCAAATTTGGATATAGATGTTTAGGATGTACTTTCTCCGTTCTTAAACAAGTGCAATGTTCAATTTTTCACATTTGTCCTTATACAATTTTGATCATTAGTATATACTCCACTCATTAAATTTTTGTCAATAACTTTCCCTTTTTAATTTGGTTGTCCTGTGATGTTAGTAAATTAATGTGATGTGAGAGATTTGATTGATTAGGAAAATTAAATTGCGAATAAAGAAATTAAACTAATGGGTTCTTTCTAATTAATGATCATAAGGAACATGAATTGATTCCGGGGCAATCAGATTTCTGACTGATCAGGCTTAATCACATGAAATTAATTTGATTGAGCCCCGCTAATCATTACTAAGTTCTTACCGCTCTCGCGGCGTAGAGTACAATAATTTAGGGGACCAAGTTGATCTCATGCGACAGGATCCTAAAAATATTGCCAAAACGAGCGACCGTACGACCCCTTAATCGTTACTAATCTCTTAGCGAACGATTAAGTGTGTGTGAAGGTGTCCTAGAATAAATTAGATCTCTCTTAATTTATTCTACAAGAAATTGTAATTCTAGCGGCCGTTCTAAGTTACAAAAGATATCAATTAATCATTCAAACACAAATTAAATAAATTCATGCAATTAATCCATCGTAAATTTAGCCATACATCATGATCAACCCCTTCATCAATCTCAAATCCCTAATTAAAACTACTCACAACTCATAATTGAATAAAAAATAGAATTGGGAAGAACAGAAATAATTGTCATTAATTAAAAAGATGGAACTTACAAATAATCCAAGGGAATTGAAGAACAAGGGAGAACAATAGATGAAATTTCGTCCCTAAGCTTCTCTCTAAGCTCCGTGACCAAAAACAAAGGTTTACGGGGTGTTTAAATAGAAAACATATCAATCTGGTCCGAAATAAGACACCTGGGGGCGAAAAACTGCCTGGCACGGCGTGCCTCCTTGGTAGGCACAACCGTTTCTGACCTCCAGAGAGTTGGTACCCATTTCTTCTATAGGCACGACCGTATCTAAGGCACGATTGTGCGTTATCTTCCGAATTTGACAATGTGTCCCCATGAAAGTCGTAGATAATGAAGTTCTCTATCTACCATAACTTGAAAATCTGGATTTGGATCATCCAATCAAAAGATACGAATAAAATGGTGGAATGTCGCATTCTGAAATCGCAACAGCGATCATCTGACTTCTTCGTCTGGTTTCACATTCCTCCTATCAGATTCTAGCAATGGTGTCTTTATATGATTTGTAGCCCTTGAAGTTGTCTTTCATATGGAACTTAAATAGTCTTCTTTTGATATTTCTACAAAAAGATATGCTTGAACGATTGGCAGAAGGTCATCCTGAACGCCATTTTCAAGCTCTATTCGTCTTCATTTAATCTCGTAGCCACTCATAGAGCTCTCTTGTCGTCAAAACTTCATCGTAACTACCCCGGTGACCTCTAAAACTCTCGATTCATTCTCAAATGCATCTCGAATCATCCCGATTGCTTCTCAAGCGCTGGTGCTGTGCTCAAATCCCTGATTTTGACTCCAAACAATACAAAACTCGAACCAACACCCGGTAACTATGACTTGAGCTAAAAAAGAGACTTGTGTCACAAAATAATTAGGGAAACCATCAAAATTCGATCTAAACATGCATCAAATGCATGTCTAAATACGGACTTATCAAATTCCCCCACACTTAAGCTTTTGTTTGTCCTCAAGCAAACTGCACATCGGGACTTACGATAATCACCACACGGAAATAAAACAATTAGCATGCACAGGTAGTTAAAGGGATATTCACAGAACATGAAAACTAAATTAAGCGGTGAAAGCGGTGATCAGCACACACTAATAAACTAGCTACTGATCAACAGGACTTGTGAAAGAGGTGGTGAATGGTGAAGAATGAAGAGTCCTTTTTTCTTTGAGAGTTTGGAACAACCCGACAAAGGCTCAATGCACTCAGGAGTTTCAAGGCTATTCTTAGGATCGGGGAATTTAGTAGACCACAAATTAGGAACTATCACTTAAACCTATGCAAGAAGCAGACATGTTGTACAACTAAGTTTAACCGCCGCGGCACATTGATGCTTTGACGTATACTTGAAGTACGCGAAGGACTAATGCTAATTTTGCAATAGCCTCCAAGTTCAATTAATTAAGATCAGTTTTCCTTGTCATGTTGGCACGAGAATGCCATTTCTTTCGAAAGATACCCAAGTCTCATCTTATTGTGCAGAACACTTACACTTTTTGACCGGGGCTCCCATTCTCTTTTTCGCAAGGTAAGAGGTCTAGCTAATATTTAATTTTTTCAATTTTCAGATTTTTCATTAGACATTACCTCATTCTAATCTCGACCTCACCAAGGAAAATTAGCAATTAAAGTTCAATTATTCAAAGTGAATCCATGCCTGCAATGCAAGCCTCGAAAATATCAAATTTCTAAAAAGTGACTGCTCTTACCCCCACTTGGGCATATGAACAATGCCAAATTTAGCTCCTACAAAAAACACCCTAAACTTCGCAAATTAATCCCCTAGTTCCCTAAACACCAAGACTTCGTCAGAATTATTCACGGGTAAGAAAACAGGCCCTTTGGCTATGAAGCTCAATTAATTGGGTAAAGAATAAAACGAACAGGCTCAAAATGGCTTCTCTTAAAGGACTTATTCAGGTTGAATGGAAGATTTATGAATTCAACGGGTGACTAATGCCTTCATCCTCTCAACAACTAGATTATAGTGCAAGCAATTTAAGCCTAAACACTTCAAAGATATTCTAAAAGCATAGTCAAGACTCTAGCCAGCTCACAAAGACGTAGTTTAAAGAAAAATTTAAAAAAAAAATTGACATGACTTTTCTATGAATATACAACTAACACCTACGCATGCTAACCGAATTAATCTCATGTAACAACTATTGCTCGAATGCCCAATTCACTCCCCCACACTTAAACTTTGCCATCGCCCTCGATGCCAAAATGCACTATGCACTAGGGGGTAAGGGGAAAGGGTCACGCGTGCTGAACTCAAGTCAAGTCAATTATTACAAACAGGCGAGTATAAGAGTCATAGGAACTTCACTAAGGCGCTGGTTGGTGTAGAACAAAACTGGGTCAAATTGTGAATCTTGGCGCGTCATCCAAATAGCAAAATCTAAGCTGCACGAACAAAACACACAAACACAAAAACACACAAACACAAAGAAAAAGAAAAAAACTAAAACAAAAGTACAGAAGTAAACTTGGGTTGCCTCCCAAGAAGCGATATTTTTAACGTCGTGTGTCTGACGCAACAACCCCACAAAAACTCAATTAAACACACTTCCACTCAGAAAGTTTGTCCTCCACATATCAAACCTCTTATCAACAAATATCCTAAGATGGCGCAAAATTTCAAATTCATGAAACCACATATTTAATGGAGAATCACAACTAAAACAAAAGGGTGGTTCCAAGCCTTTATCAGGCCCTTTATCAAAGAATGGGTCAAAAACAATCTCTTTAAGAGATGGAGGTTTCCCTCCCTCCTCTCCGGGTGGCTCCATGATGTCTAATAAATAACACTCATTAACAACTTGACATGACTGTTTTGCCAGTTTGGCCATGCAAAAAGTGACTCTCTCCTCCCCAACTCTCAAAATCAATTTTCCCTCCCCAACATCTATGAGGGCCCGTGCAGTCTCCATAAATGGTCTTCCAAGAATTAAAGGCACCTCAAGATCTTGGGGCATATCCAAGACAACGAAATCAACGGGAATCACAAACTTGTCCACTTTAACCAACACGTCTTCGGTGATTTGAACCTATTTAAAGAGGTTCAGAAACTTATTGAAGCCTTCAGTATCACTCTTTCCCTTCAATCGTTGTGGAAATGGGAGGGGTGGGCAGTAAGCTTTAACTGAAACAGATTGCTTTGGGACTGCCTGACGTGCACTCGTCGTTAGGTGCACTCAAAATAAATAATCAATACAACACAAATACGTAGTATAGTGCAGTAAGGTTCGTATCCACAGGGAAAGGAATACTTTTCTTTTATAAAAGTAGTAACAAAAAGGGGGGTTTAGATTTGTTTGTTTTAACAACACTAAGATAAACAACCTATATGAATTTAATGCAATGAGATGAAGACTTGGTCTTGCTTTTATCCACTTAATGAAATGTTCGTCGATCCCGATTATATCTTTAACTATCTTCCTCTCGAATACTCAATCGAGGAGTATATCCAGTTCATCGAGGGTAGTTATTAATAACGAGATGTGTTCATAAATAAAACTTACTATCGAGTCAATATAGAACAAGCGCCGTATATTAACTTGATAGTAGCAATAAACTTAAGATGAAAACGATTGAGATTGATAACCTCAACACAAGCGGTTTATTGGTTTAATCAATATAATTAATTCCGCTTGGCATATTAACCATGAGATGCATGCATTAATATTCCAAGTTTACTACCGTTGAAAGAACCGGATTAATAACAAGCGTATTAACCGATTAATTCTAGTAATAATTAATATGAGAAACAATACTAGTTGATACTTTAAGTAATGTTTAAGATATTAACATGAAATATGAATAGGAATTAATTAATACTCAAGGAAGAATATTAAAATATATGGATCCTACTATGATTAATATCAAGATGTTGACTAATTGTCATCTTAGTAACACTCCCCAATATTATCATAGAAGAAGAAATAGCTATTACTATAACCAATGTCAAGATGT